CAATGAGGAGCCACCCAGTGCAGTTGGAGACCCCGAACTCGGTGTCCCCTTCCACATCGGGACGAGGTCATCTCCAGCCCGGGGCACCCCAGGCACCTTACCTTCTTGCCAAGCGCTCTCTGGGCTCCGAACCCTGATCATCTCCTGCACCCACCCTCTGCCCGGGACTCCCACGTCACCGCTCTCCACGGATGAACACTGCCCACCTCTACACATCAGTCTCAAAGCCACCCCCTCCAGCCTCCAGACCCTTCAGAGCCAACTGCTCCCTCAGTTGCCACATCCCACCTTGCCGCCTAGCAAAGTGTCTGCTGCCAGGGCCCATGGAGATGGTAAGTGTCCAGTGATTTTTAAAAGACAGGGGAGGATGTCCCAGTCACTCATCTCTGGTGAACCTCATGTACTTTGCCCTTCTGCTATAAAACTCGCCTTAATCTTTGCACCTGTAACAAAAAGCCCCCTTTCTCCTAAGCCTGCATTTCCCACTCTTAAGCTAAACTGAATTCATTACTTTGCACAATCAAGTGCTATGTGACTGTTGGTCTTTGGGGGATATGCCCAGAGGCAAGCCTATGTTTGGGGAGCGTTTTATGACGCTCTCCCAGTAGGATGTCCCCTGAGCATTCACCTGGAGGCTTGGAAGGCCCATTCTCACACCCCTGCTCTGGAAGCTCTTCCCAAATGACCTCCCAAGCTTCTTGGTATATTGTATCTTCTCCAAGATGATAAAGATGTGAGGGAAGGAAAACAACAACGAACCCAGCAGGTGAAATCGCAGATATGGACACACCAAGGGTTAATGATGGCAACATAAAATCAGCCAGAGGCCAAGTACCCCAAGCAGACAAGCCTTGGGCATGCATGCTGGGAGAGGGCAAGCAAGGGAGGGGGTCTCAGAACGGCCTCACCTTCCTCCTGTCCAATGGGGACAGCGCTACCCATTGGAGCGGTTAAGGTCAGACACCAGCACCTGCAGAATATCCTGAATCTACAGGTGAAAAGGGAAAAACAAGGGCAAGGGGAGAAAGAGAAAAGTGAATTAGAGAAGACAGGAAGGTAAGAGAAGGAAAAAGAGCAGCTGTGGATGATGGATGCTGGAGACAAGGGTGACGGATCATACCACGGCCTGTGCCATCTTTCCAAATGGCCACTCACTGCCTCGCCTGAGGCAGAAAGCAACGTGAACCAAAAGATGATCAAAGCTACCAAATCAGTCTGGAGGACACTGATCTGGCCCAACAATATTATCTTCCAGGTGAGGAAACTGAGACCCGGGAAGGACATGATTTTCCCTGTGATCACCCAGCAAGCAGGTGGCAAAGACAGACTCCCACCTCAGAGGTCACCTAATCCCAAGCACCCAGAGCTCATCTGTGCAGCTCTAAAGGGAGAGGGTGTCCTCGCTGACTGGCTTCCCCTTGAGGCTGGGGATGAGGGAAATTGCCAGAGCAAGAAGTCCTGTACTGAAGGCTTACTGCGAACCAGGCCCCCGCACAATCATCTCAGGATGCTGCCTAGATTTAAGTAGAGCTGTAGCACCCTGACTCGTAGGTGGACAAAGAGCTTAAACAGTGTCGCCCCAAATCAGATCCCCAGCAGAGCTACGGAGAGGCTGCACTCAGACCCAGGGTTCTTACCCACTTCTTTCATGCTCTTAACCTCTCACTCAGCTGCCCTGGAGCACCCCTCTCCCAGCCTGGCTGAGCAAGACTTACATCTTTTGATGACTCACAGCCACCAGATGCAGTTGTCTCTGGCTTACTGCCATGTTTCTTCTTCTTTTTCTTAACTCCTGCAGGAGACCCCAAGATATTTTTCCTTTGGCAGTCTCTCAACTGCAGAGAGGAAAAAGAGAGTTGAGGCTCACGAGAACGGCAAGCCCCTGTACTCACACCCCACTTTACAAGTTAGATTTGCCACCTGACTTCATGCCACCAACATCTCCACCAGGTGCTGTGCGTAGTCCCCCCGTCCCATCCTCCCAATGACAGAAGAAATGGACTGATAACATGGTTTAAAGAAAAAATATTTAGGAATTTACACTCAGTCTTCAGACTCCAACTTCTGGGATGCCATGACTCAGTAGCTGCCAGCGGGCAAAGCCAGCGCGGGGTGGAAAAGCAAGCATGTGAGTACTCAGACGTCAGGGCCCTTTCTTGTACATGTTACCCATTAACAGCGCTGCTCAAGCTCCTGCACCAATGGATGCTGATGGCAGAAGGCAGTGAGGGGACAGCCAGGGGCACAGCCAGGCACATTTCAGAGCAATCTGTTACAATCTCACATATGTCTGCATACGTGCATTAACACAGAAGGCTTTTTTTTCCTCAGGAGACTCAAGCAGAATTGATGCTTCAGTCGCCTGTTTATCCTGTGGGGTGCAGAGCAACCCATGTTGAGATGACTGGGGGAAGATTCCCAACTGGGAAGGTCAGTTTGCTGGGATCTGATCCACCGAGGATAAACAGATCACTCCAAAGAGCACTGATTGGGGGCACTCTGGCCCCAGGGTCATAAGGAATTAGAATGTGAGATGGAGGAGTCAGACAAAAATTGGAAAGTCTCCGTGGAGAAGTAGAAACCCCGCAGAAAACCAAACTAAACAATTCTTCCCAGTGTCACGCAGAGTGGTTGTCAATGCTTCAGGATTACTAGGGAAGTGCAGGCTTAGTAGGTGCTCAGTGTTAAAAGGTGGGGTACAGAACAGAGCAAGCGAGCCTGAATCCTCTCCCAGGGTTGGGTTCCAGGGTCTTGAGTCCCCCTTCAGGTTGGTGTTCTAGGCCACAAGGGAAACCTGAAAGGGGGTTAGTCCTGGGGGGCTGGGGCAACAGATCAAGCACCCAGCTCTTTAGGTGACTGTAAGGATGATTCCTAGGGGACTGTGACTTAACTACATTCCACCCCTAGTCCCCCCACTCCCCCACCCCCCTGCATATTCGCTGCTCCTCTTTGTCCTGGGCCAGCCTGCTTATGGACTCTCAAACTCCTCCCTCATCACTGCTCTCTGGTCTGGCAGGAGCCGAGGGGGTGGCTCAGGCCTGGTTATGAGGGTCTTCTGCAGGGATGCGAGAATACGGGTGGAGAAGGGGTTGGTTAAAGGTGGTAGGAGACATTTCCTGAATGCGAGCCTGTGTGAATTTTAGGAGGCAAGGAGCAAAAAGAAAAAAAATAAGGTGATCATTAGTATTGGCCCCAAGGGTGGGAGGAGCCATGAGGCTACAGGATTTTGAAACCATGTCAGTGGAGACTTGGAGCCCCCGCTTTCCCTTGCCATGTCCTTGCGTAGTTTCATGAAGGCTTCCACATTTTCTTCTACAATCCTTGACTCACTGATATAGTAACAACATTCTTCCCTGAGGAACAGGTAGGTGCCCCCTTTAGCAGCCGTTCACAGGTCGAGAGCCCGTCGGTTTTGGAGCATGGCCTGTGCCAGGGAGGGGAGCTGTCTTTGTGATAATGCTAAAAACACAGAGTTTTTTTCTAAGGAGGTATCTATTCGTTAACCGAAATGTTAGAAGTGCAGGAATGAAAGCCAACAAGGGCGCCAGTTTGCTAGCAGGGGTAGCTGTGATTAGAGTCCCATAGGGGGACTGAGAGTTGGGGAGTCTGGCAAGCAGCGTCCATTATCTTGGTCATGGTGGTATTGAGATTAATTGGAGCTGCCGCCAGTAGAGGCCTCTGAAGGGAAGCACAGAGGAAACAAGAGGAGGTATTAGTCCCAAAAGAGTCATTTAGGAAGGGTATAGCATTTTGGATTATATGAATCCAGGTTGAGGGTGTCTCTGTCTTTTCTGATGATGTTAGCTGATTTTGCAGGACTTGCTCTGAATGGAGGGTGTCCTGGGAGACTTGGACTGTGGCATTTTGTGTTGGGATATATTCCCTTGAGACGGGACAATGTTGCCACTGGGTAGGAATGCCAGCCAGTGTGCACTGCTGCTTGGACTCCCTGTACCCAGTGTTGGTCCCAAGAATCTGAAAAAGATAGTTAACCTGTTTTGTATTCAAACCCGTATTATGACAGACTGGAGAGAACATTAGGCCTTTGTCTGGAAGGTGCACTGTACATGAGTGTACATTTGTAGGTGTTCTTGCAGTGATCTAAGGTTTGATGGTAAAAGGAACAAAAGAAGATGTTCATAGGGTTAGTAATTGATGAAAGAGTTAGGGTGAGGGTGATGGGTGCTGTGCATCCGGCCTGTGGGCATCCACAGTACCCACCAAGTGGGTAGTCTCCCTGGATCCTGAGACAAAGGTCTCCCTAACTTTGAAAATCCATGCACAGGACACTGGGCTAGGGGAGATTTTGACAAGAAATGCGCATCCGAGTAGGACCCAGGTTACGACATGCATACTGTTTGTCTTCGGGGGCACGTTTGACCCAAGAGACATGGTGCCAGGAGGGGTGTCCCAGAAGTGTTACCAGTATAGGCGTGGGGAGAATGACCGTGTGTGGACGGAGGAGAAGGTCAGCTGAGGAGGTCAGGATCCGAGGCAGGACTGGGTAGGTACCGGTCTGCGTATTCCTGGAGCAGTTGCCTGAGTAGGGAGAGGTCAATCCTGTCCGGGTAAGTGTCCACGCAGCTGGTGAACTGCAAAAGAAGAAGGTGGGCAAACTCCCCCTTGAGGTGACACGCGAGCACAGGTTTGACGACGGGAACATATCTGCCAGACTTTTGCATTCAAGGAGGGGTGGAAGAAGAGCGGACTCAGGAATGGGCATTCATTAGGCTCCTAAGTAGAGTGATGGAGGGGACAGATTGGGAATAGAGGCAGGGTCTGCAGCAGAGTCAGTGGTGGGAGCCCTTGCTGCTGCATCAGCCTTGTTATTCCCTGTGGTCACGTAAGAACTGTCCGTGTGGTGTCCTTCACAGTGGATCATGGCGACTTCAGTTGGAAGCTGCAAGACCGTTAGAAGGTTAAGAATAAGTTTAGCGTTCATGATGGGGGACCCCTTGGTGGAGAGGAACCCCCTTTCCTGCCAAATCGAGCAGGACTGTGAGCCATAAGGAAGGCATATGTTGAATCCGTATTGATGGTGACTTTCTTATGGTGGCTGAGGGTCAGGGCCCCGGTAAGTGCTCTGAGTTCTGCCTTTCGGGAGGTGGTTCCCCCGGGCGGCTTTCCTGCCTCGATGACCTGATCGAGGGTAACGATGGCCTAGGCAGCCCTCCGCTGACCTCGCGCACCTTCGCAAGAGCTGCCGTCTACAGACAGAGTCCAGTAGGCATCTGACCAAGGGGAGTCAGCCAAACCCAGTCTGGAGGTTTGCATTTTTTCCAGGATTTCGGGACACGAATGAGCGGCAGAAGGGGGGCCAGAGACGAAGAGGGGCTGGGTTGAGAGAAGTTGACTGAGTGAGACTCGCCAGAGGGTTTGCGATAAAGAGCACGTGGAAGTCCTGTGAGCGGGCAGGAGTGAGAGTGGAGAGCGAGCGGGGAGACAGGAGGGCCTGAAGGTGGTGCAGGGAATGTGCTTGGACAGGTCTTCCCAGATTAATTTGAGGGGTTCCCGGGTGAGTAGAGCTGCCGCCGCCAGGGCTCTAAGGCAAGGTTGCCAGCCCCTGACGGTGGGATCCATCTGCTTGGAGACATAAGCAACAGGACGCAGGGCTGGGCCCAGATGCAGGGAAAGGCCACCTGCCGCCATACCCCGACGTGCGTCTGTGCACAGGAGGAAAGGCTTTTCTGGGTCAGGAAGGCCAAGGGCAGGTGCCCTAAGGAGGATATGTGTGAGTAAAAGGAAGGCCCTGCGGACCTCCCTGGGGATTGGAGACGTCCTTCAGGGGAGGCTTTTCCTGCCTTGTACAGTGGCTTGGCTGGGAATGCAAAATTAGGGATCCAAGATGGAAGAATCCGACCAAACCTAGGAAGGAAAGGATTTGTTCTGCCGATTCAGGGGAGGGAAGGTCCCGGATGGCCTGTTTGTGGTCCACTGTCAGCTGTTTGGAGGAAGGAGTTAGTCGAAGACCCAGATAGACAACTGTGG